TTACCTGTACCTTATCTGTGGCTAGAAATCGTCATAAAACGAATTGTCCCAATTAAAAAAAAAAAAATAATATGAATGAACTCTCATAAGCTGGTTCATAATAAGCAAGGAAAGGAAAAGGCCAGTAAAATAAAAGAAGATAAAGAAGAAAACTGCCACTAACCGATATCACTTCCCGACAGATGAATCGTTCTATTTCCTTCCGTAATGGTGGGATATGCGCTTGCCCAATACCTTCCAACAGTGAGATGAAATCCTCGAAACACTGTACTTCTCTCATTAGGACCTTTTCAAAGTACACGTGAGCGAAGGTCTGGAAAAGGGCTTCTTTTAGGTTTTGCACAGAACCTCTATGTCAAATCTTCCACCGTTTTTGGCGCAGTTTGAGCAACCCCTCCCCCACTTTGTTGAGCCTCGCCGTGTTTTTCTATCACGAGAACCGCGGTTCAAATTAATCCAGCGGTCACTGAGTATTTTTGGTACTAATAACGGAACCCTTTCTTTATCTCTGTAGCTGACACCAATGTTTTTCAGAGATTACTCGCCATGACACCGGTGATAACACAACCATGAATATCACCCAGCGAACAAAGACTATTTTCAAGTAATCCATGCAAACAACTTTTTTTTGGGTGCTATCTGCTCCATGAAAGCGAAAAAGGGTCCAGTATGTCATAAAAGAAAGTTATCGTAAACAAACGTAAAAACGTATTGCAGGACTAAAATAAAAAAAACTTACACTTCTGACGAGGTTTAAGCTGTGTTCCGTTAGTTCTTCTTCATCGTTAAAACATTCCTTTTCTACTCGATCACATCCGAATAGAAACACCAAGCGGTGCATGGAGAATTTATCGCCCTACAATAAGCGCTATATACTTTCACAAAAGTAAATAAATGAATATAAATAAACACGGGTATGCGACAACACAATCGTAAAATGCCGCGCTAGTAGGCGTGGCGAGCGACGACGCGGCAGCCAGACGAGTTGTCTTGCCTGGATGTTTGAACATGACTGTCAAAGGGATACGGAGAACTCGATATTGCCTGCTATGAAGTCTTCTTCTCTCTCTTGGAGTGATGGACCCTCTTTTCGCTCGAGTTCTCACGGCTTTTGCTATTATCGGCAAACTGATGCATATAGAATCCTGCCGCGCATGGACGTGCGACACGCCGCGCGCGACGACGCGACACTTTACGATTGTCTTGTCCGTCTCCCCGCAATTACATGTGAAGTAAAAATGCATAAAAAAGACAATATGAAAAAACGAAAAATCTCACCTTTTCCCGCAGGAGGTCTAGGTTTGGGATATCAACAGAGTTGTTAAAATAGGCTTTAATAAAATCTTCACATGTCTTCTCAATACGTTGACTTCGACACGCTCGTTCCACACTCGGTAAGTAGCTTAGCGGGTCAAACAACGAATTTTTGAATCTTCAAATAAAACAACTTCTTCGAGAACCTCTCTTTATTCGAAGGCTTTTTTCACTCACTTGATGTCAACGACGACATTCAGATGTGTGTCGATGTGCTGGTGTCACAAGAGCGGTAAACGTCTTTTTTCCAAACCGACTTTTGTCAAGGAGCAATGGCCATCAGCTTCCTTTAACAGCGAGGATCTACGCTGAAGGTTCTCCGGATGAGAATAACCAGCGAAGAACTAATTCGGGAGCACCAGTTTGTTGCGGCATTATTGATGGAAGCTTCGGAATTTGATGCGAATTAATCGGCGCCATTGCAATGTTCGCTAGAACTTTTCAGTATTGATACGCAATATTTGAGATATCAATTTACTTTAAACATCATTATACTCCCTTTAGTTCGGCGCGGATGAAGGCGAGCGTGCCAGGTCCCCTGTTCTCTGCCAGTGTTGAAGCTGGTATACAGATAGTAGCTTGTAGTACTGCCGCTTACTGGATTCAACAATTGGTAGGTGACGAGTTTGGCACAACGCCAAACTCATCCTGCCTGACCGCCCCTTCGCCCGCAGCGAACTAGACTATAGACACGCGATCAATGCACAATGCAAATTCTACCACAGTTTGTTGCTAAAGACACATCCCGCGATTACCGATAGGTGGGATCACTCTCTGTTAGGTGATTCGTTGCGCATTGCTAAAGTTGTCTTACTTTCACCATCTGACAGTGACTAACGAGGTGACAAGTTGAAAACACGCAACCTGGAAGTTCCCACTGCCATGTGGGAACCCACCTGGGATTCTGTGTACGACCGACACAAAAGCACGAAAGTCTGCTAGTGGAGTGGCTGTGACACATTTGACTCCCACCCCGCCACGAACATCGCAGAATGAGCTTTCAAAATTGTAATTGATTTCTGCGGTCTGATACCCTTAACAGACGGCTTCGCAGGACATTCCGATCGTAAAAAGCTGCAGAATCTCGTACTGTACACTGGGCCCTGCCATGCAATGCGAGTAAAAAGTAGTGAAAATCACATATAAAATAGCAAATCAAGCAAAAATTATGAGCTTTAACAAATTCTGAAACGAAGGCCAATAAAAAGTGCTGATGATAACTCACTTTCCCTCCTCAACAGTCACATCCGTGCATGGCCCGTCTTTATAATAGAGCAATACAAAAACACGCCGTACCGATGGTACAGCAGCATATTCTGAAAATGTTCAGATTCGTAAATTACTTCCACTGCCGAAACTAAAGGGGCATGACCTTAGGTTGCATTTATACTTCCTAGCGACTATGGCGGCAATACCCTTTTACTAAAGGTATGTCTCGTAAAGTACGCCAATTTCACCACTCAAAAGTATGCAGCAGGGGGCCCGGGGGCTTCTGATGGCTGACAATACCTTTACCTAGTACAAATGCCATAGACGCACGACAACAGCGCAGCGTTGCCATCGATCTACTCGCCCTCGTTGTTTATGTGATTTTTACTCTCCCCTCAGCTTGTCTATTTACCCCACACTTGTCCAGCGGTAAAAACCCATGAGAAACACTAGCTCCCTCATGCAATGAGAGGGGAAAAGCGATTCCACGCAAAAGGGTCACAACATCGTGGAAAAAATGTATCATGAAGAAACTGCTAGAAAAATTCAGGAAACACGTACCACAGGTCGACACCACACATTCATCAGACAAACGAAGTGCCCATGTGAACTGAACTCCATTGTAGGCAGTGGAGAATGCGGGTGATACGTTTAGAACGATGGCCTCAGAGTTCTCCAGCAATCTAAACAAAAACCA